TGGCCGAGCAATTTGTCGAGCGCGGGCTGGAGTCCGACTCTGCCTCCGAGCCCGTGGCCGTGAGCGCGGCTGGGGCTGGCGCAGGCGCGTCCGAGGTGGCCGCCGCCTGCTCGGCCAGCGCTGCGCCTGGAGGCCGCGAGTCCGCCGCGCAGCAGTACCTGAGCAGGCATCCTGCGGCGATCCTACGTGGGGGCCGCGAGCCCCCAGGCTCTCGCGGGGCGGCCTGGCGGCGTGCTCGGGAGGCGATCGCCCGCGCCTGGCTCGAGGTGCCAGCCGCGGGCGGGCATGCGGAGGCCGACGCGGGGAGCTCGGGTTCGCGTGCGGGTTCGTGCTCTAGTGGAGCAGGCGCCGCCGCTGCCCGCGGCTGGGCTGCAAGCTACAGAGGTATGATGTCGTCTTCGAGTGAGGCGGACTTCGAGGAGGAGGAGTTCGTCTCGGATGGCAGCGAGCACGGCTTCGATTACGGCCCGTGGAGCAGGACTTCGACGTCCTTGCCCGCATGAGGGCCATCGACGAAGCTTGGCGGGCTGCCCGGGAGGCCCGACCGAGGGCTTGGGATGAAGCTTGGGAGGCCTGCCTCGAGGAGTCGATCGAGGAGGAGCCCCAGGAGAACTCGGAGCGCGGCGCGCTAGAGGACTCGCGGGCGTGGACGCTGGAGGCGGCACAGCAGTCCGTGGACGGCCCCGAGGTCCTCGCTGGAGCCGAGCCGCCCGTGGGGGTCAGCCTTGTGGAGCCTGCCGCAGGCCCGCTGGCGGGCGGCGATGGGGGCGACGCGCATCCCAGAGGGGCGGTCGGAGGGCCCCTGCGGGGGATGGCCGCCCGCGCGACCGACCCCCCCTCGAGGGAGATGCGGCGGGAGCTGGCTCGAGGAGCGTGGCGGGGCCGAGTCCCGAGCCGCCCTTGGAGTGCAGGAATCGCGAGAGGTGAGTGAGTGAGTGAGTTTGTCGCCTTCTCAGATTGCGCGGAGGGCTGTAGCTCGCATAGGCCCCGCAGAACACGCAGTGAGTAGTGGATTGGTGCAGTTGCGAGTCGATTGGGATATTATGTTGTATATATTCTCTTCGGTCCTGCACTTGGTGTGGTCTTGTGTAGTTTATGCTCTTGTCAGTGCTGCACTTGATGGTAACTTGTGTAGTATATACCAGAGGCTTCGCCTTCTGTCTGTGCTGCACGTGTCTGGGAGGGGGCCCAATGTGGCCTCCTCTGTCGGCGTTCTGGCCACCACTTGCCTTTAAGGCCCTGTCTTTAACTTTAACTTTAACACATCGGACATCTATTCGCACAGCCGCACCCACAGGCACACGCACATAGGCACACGCACACGCACACACAGACACATACGCGCACACACGCACACACATACAGAGTGGCAGCATACGTTCACGCAGACCGCGGGAGCACGGCAGGGCAGCACGGCATAACACAGCAGCGCCGCTGACCACCACGCACGGACATACATGCACATATTGCACGCACGCACGCGCATGCGCAACCGCACGCACGCCACGACAGACTTGCGCAGCGCACGCTATGAACGTAGGGTATCTCATAAGCCCAGGACACAAAAAGGACGCTTCCAGCTCTTGTCTGGTCAGGTTTAACTCGTTGAAGTGCCATTTCCAGTTGGGCAAGTACGTTTCGTGCGTGCCCGCTCGGGGAAAGCACACCCCCCACTTCGGATCCTCGAGAAGTAACGGGGTCCGCAGACCGCAGTCAAAATCAATAGTGTGCGGAGCGTTTGGCGCGGAATCCTTGACAAAGGTCTGGAGACCCACAAATTTCATAGAACTGTACACTGTTGATTTTGCGCGTGCTTGCACGAGGACTGCGCGTCCTGCGTGCAGAATGTTCAAGGATGTGTCGAGCCAAGCGCCTGTTTTCGAGGAAACGCCTCAGGTCGCCCAGGCGGGTGTCTAGCAGCAAGGTTGTTCGAGGATGTTTCGGGCGCCACGCTTGTTTTCAGGTGTCCAGGACGCCCAGGCGGATGTTTAGCATGAGGAGTCGTTGAGGGTGTTCGTAGCAAAGTTATTGTTTGCATTTCAGGTCGCCCAGGCGGATGTCTAACATGAGGATGGGTTGAAGATGACTCGGGCGACGCGCTTGTTTTCATATGTCCAGGTCAACCATCGCCCCCGTGACTCATCCCTCAACCCCCCAACCCCCCGGCCGGATTTCTTTTCTTCTTTCCGCGGGGGGTCAACCTTCGCGGCGACCCGTTAAACCCGGGACCCCTGGCGGCGCATGGATTTCTTTCCTTCTTCCCCGCGCGCGTTGCCGTTGGAACCCCTGAACCCCTCCGACTACCGTACAACTCGTACTTGAGTACAACTGGTACTATCATGTCCTATCGCGCAGTTGTTCCTAGGTTTCCAATATATTGGGTTTCCCGTATACTGGGTTTCCAATATAATGGGTTTCAAATATATTGGGTTTCCAATGTATTAGGTTTCCAATATATTGGGTTTCCAATGTATTGGGTTCCTAATCTATTGGGTTCCCAATATTTTGGGTTTCCAATATATCGGGTTTCTAATATATTGGGTTTCGAATATATTGGGTTTCCAATATAGTGGGTTTCCAATATATTGAGTTTCCAATCTATTGCGTTTCCAATATACTGGGTTCCCAATATATAAGCCCGAACCCGAGCCCAAACCTCACCGGCTGTAATTCAGTTGTTCCCGTACTAATACAAATCCCTAGTGCAACCGCGATTAAGGTGTTGTTTCATTGCACTTACAGTCTCGGCTCTCGCGCTTTTCTTCCTCTGGTTGCGCTTGGGGGGGTGGGACCCCTCGCGCGGGCACCCCCGCGGCTGGGAGTTCATTCCTCTTCCGGAATTTGAGGGGGGGGTAACCCCCGTGCTCGAACCCCTTCGCCAAGGTTTTTTTCTTTCCTCCGCGGAAACCGGACCCCCTGGGTTCTTCGGCGCGCCCCATTTTTTTTTTCTTTCCGGTTGGGCCTCCATGGGTCTTAGGTTGGAGTCACCCGGGTGATGGTCAACCAGACAGATCCCTAATATGAGGACGTGTTAAGGAGATCTCAAGCGAAACGCTTCTTTTCACGTGTCCAGGTCGCACAGGAGGGCGTTTGACATGAGGAGTTGTAGAGGATGTCACGAGCGAAGCGCTCATGTTCATGTGTCCAGGTCGCTCAGGCGGATGCCTAACATGAGGAGGCGTTGAGGATGTCTGACATGAAGACTTGTTGAATATGTTTCGAGCGGCACGCTTGTCTTCACATGTCCAGGTTACCCAGGCGGATTTCTAACATGAGGAGTTGCTGAGGATATCTCAACCGAAACGGCTGTGTCTCGAGCGAAACGCTTATTTACGTTTGCACAGACAACTTGAGATCAAGAGCCATACCAGTTCGGACAGGATCGGCGTGCCAGGGATGGCTCGATCCACAACGCAACAGAAGGCAGCAAAGTTCAACACAACGTGACGCAGCACAGTGCAGCACAGCACGAACCAATTTCAATGTTCGCCAGGATCGCAACCCTGGTTGTTTGCGAGGGGCCCTGGCACCTCGGAGTGCAGCTCCCTCGTCAGGAGACGCCAGGGGGGGTTCAGGATAGTGAGCTGAAGCGTATTCGGCTCTTCCCAGTCTTGGTGTGTTTTGCCTCGCTTCGGGCAGGGTCGGTTCGGCGTTCGTCTCGGTTCGTACTGGTCTGGTTCGTCTTAATGCACTTCGTCGTGTCTTGGTTCGCGGCGCTTCGGTCCGTCCATTCTCGCTTCGTTTCGCGTCGGTTCGGAATCAACCCCTCTTGGTTCGCCCCGTTACAGGACTGGATCTGATCTTGAGCTCGAGCTGGTCGAGCACCCCGCGCGGCTCGACTGAAACCATCTCGAGTTGTGCGTTCAGGCGGCTCGAGTCTAAGATCCAGATCAGTTTGGTCAGGATCATGATGCTAAGACGACCTGATCCACAACGCAAGAGAGCACAGCACAGTTCAACGCGGCATGGCACATTTCAAGTCATCACAGCACAGCACAGCCCCTTGCACGATACATCACCAACGTTACCTTAAGAATTGCATCTGCCCGTCGCCCAAGATTCGGTGTCTCAAACGTTCCATGCTTCACAATTCTACATCCCTTTTCAGGTCCATGGTCGATCACTCTCGATCCTAACGTTTTTGGTCCTTCCAAAATGGTTTTCCCGTTGCGGCGTTGGCCTCATTGAAGCATCGACGTGCTGCTCCTGTCGTTCAGAGTGGCGCTCTCGCATCGGCGCGAGCCGCCGTTCTGGGTCCGACTCGTTCCGCGTCGTTGTTGACCCGCTCATTTCACCTCCTCTCAGAGCGTGAATTACCTACCCCGCTTTCGCTTCCAGGCAAAACCAAGCCATACCACGCGCCTCCTCGTCAAGCGGCCTGATCAGTACAGGCTGCAATTTGGCATCGTTTGGTATCTCTTGGAAGCGAGGGTGGTCAAAAGCGAGGGAGGTTTGTTTTCCCCCTATCCTCCGCCTTCCCTTGGCCCTCCGGCTCCTCCCGTTTCTCCGATTTCTCTAACAGCTCCGCGCACGGCGGCCGTAGCGGGCCCGTCGGCTCTCAGGAGGCGGCCCTGAGCACTTCCGTCCCAGTTCTTCCTGCTTCTGCTCCTGCTATTGTTGCTCTTCCTCGTCCTCGTCCTTCCTCATCGTATTCCTCCTGCTCCTCCTCCTCCTCCTCCTCCTCCTCCTCCTCCTCCTCCTCCTCCTCCTCCTCCTCCTCCTCCTCCTCTTCCCCTTCCTCTAATGTACACAGCTCCCCCATTGTGATTGCGCAGAAGACGATGGTGCCCTTGTGGGTGTTCCAGGTTCGCTATGACACCCATCTGCGGACAGAAGCAACATCAGCACAGTGAGAAGGGATAAGCGGGAGTGGTAGGATGGTAGACATGGCGCGACCACACCTGGTCTGATTCTTCCCCCCTCCCCCTCCCCCTCCCGTGACGGACGCTCCAAAGGTGGCGCATCAAAAAACGGAGCGCCGCCCTCGTCAGAGCCGCCAGGAGATGGGGGCCCGGGTGCTCGCCGCGTCCCCCGCGGACTTGTTGGCGTCCCACGTCGGCGACGCGGAGAAGCGGGTGGCGGCTCTCTTCGCGACCGCCCGCCAGTGTGCCCCCAGCCTCGTCGTTCTCGAGGACATTGACGCCCTCGCGCCAGCGGGCCCGGACCCGGACGACGAGGACGCCGAGGCGCTGGCGGAGGCAAAAGGGGCGGGCAGCCCGGGGGGCGGGCAGCACGCGCACTCGCCGATGAGCTTCGTGTGGGAGGCGCGGGCCATCGGAGCCCCTCGACACCAGGCGTCCGAGGATCCGAGGTTGTCGAGGCACGGCCCGAGGGGGCCCCCCCTTCCCCGGGGCCAGTTTGTCGCCCCGGATCTATTTTTGATGGCCCTGGTGCCAAAGAACAGGCGCCAGGGGCCGAAGTCAGGAAAAGACACCCGGATGAAAGAACATCAGATCGTACAGTCGGGCCGTGGAAGAAGGAACTCTTTTTGTTGCGGAGGGGTTCAGTGTTCCTTAATTGTTTTGCAGTCTATCTTAGGTTTGCCTTAGGTTTGCGATGGCAATCGAGGTGTAACTTGTGGGAAAAAGGGCTTCGTTCCTTGTTCAGGGTTCCTTATGACAGCGCCTCCACTGCAGGGATGTCTGGGTGTAGTGGCCCCGCCCTGGGCTGTCCGCCACTGTTGCGGCCGCCGGCGAGCGGGACGCCTCGGCGGAGGGCTCCGAGACGCGAGTGGCGTACACGCTCCGGGCCGAGCTCGACGCGCTCAGCTGTGGGCGTGCGGAGCTCGAGCGCTGCCGCGGCGCGGGGCACGCCGCGCCGTTCGCCGCTGAGGCCCTGCATCCAGCCCGCTGGTGTTCCCTCACTCGCTCGCTCGCTCCCCCCCGTCCTCCCCCTCCTCCCCCTCCTCCTCCTCCTCCTCCTCCTCCTCTTCCTCCTCCTCCTCCTCCTCTTCCTACTCATCCTGCTGCTCCTCTTCCTCCTCCTCCTCCTCCTCCTCCTCCTCCTCCTCCTCCTCCTCCTTAGGTTGCCATTTTGGCTCCAGATGGGGACATGGCCTTTTTGAGCGCGGCAGCTCTCTGCAGAGGGCGATCTGGGGTCAGACCCAGGCGGACACTTCCACCTCTCGCCACCTCATTTCGTATGTGGCCTCATGGCGGCTGCTGCCGGTACCGACCCGTTCGCGCAGATCCTCGCGGGCATCGAGGGTCTTGGCGGACGCATGGCCCGCGTCGAAGAGCAGCTCGCGGATGTGCAGGTTCTCAAGCAGGATATTCATCCGCACCACCTGAAGTTCACGGAGATGAGCGAGCGAATGGCGATTGTGCAGGCGACCACCGACGTGATGAATGCATCTCTCGAGAACCTGGCAGAGGCCGACGTCATCAAGCGCTTTCAGACGCAGGCCGACAACACCGCTCTACAGCTGAAGGAGTTTTCTGGGAAGGTGGCCAGCGACGCTCGTTTTACGGCAAGTGGCAGTGCTAGTGGCAGTGCCTTCCTATCTCGCGGGTTCCAAGAGAGCGCGCACCTCGGCTGCTAGTCTCGGCTTTGCGGACGGTTCCCGAACACCAGACAGCAACCCGTGTAAAGTATGGACTGGAGGTTTTCTTCGGCCAGTTGTAGCCAAAGGGATGGCAGCATTCGCGCTCACGATCAAGCCGTAGGGATTGGCGCCTGCGACCACGACCTGCACAATTCGGACGTGCAGCCTCAACTCTTCGTTCAGCATCGAGTTCGAGGAAGGTGTGTTGGCGCGGGACTTCGTAGACCAGGTGCAGACCAAAGGCGTGCATTGGTTGGACCTGGAGACGTCGGTGCAAGTGCCTATGAGGGTGAGGTTGGACGCTTCCTCGGCGGTCAGACGCCGTCACAAGGCGCTCGGGCTGCTGTGGTCGCGCATGTCCGATCACCTTCGTGAAAGTAACGGCTGGCGCAGTGGCGTGAAGCTTGGCTGTCAGGGCTTCAAGGGCACGCTGTTGCTGATCGAGAACGACGAGTGCAACGTCCTGTTCAATGCGAAGGAGCTGGAGCTGAACCAGTTCGAGGTCACGCCAGAGATCGAGAATTTGACGCTCATTGGCATCGACCAGCAGAAGGCCGAGGCCATGGCCGCAGACACGCTTCCGAAATAGGAAGCGACCCCGCTGTCTCGAACGTGCATAGGGCTCACGCTCGTTGCTGGAAATGGGCAGGTTGCAGTTTCTGACGCGATCGATTCTGGCGACTCTCCCGGGTGCAGGGATGCTGAGCGAGCGCGAAGATGTTGCGCCAAACATGTCTGCTACTGCATCCTGTCATCCATCGCCCCTTTCTCCTTGCGCCCTTCGGTTGCGCGGACGTGGGACTGAGAATTCGCGATCTTTTCAGTTTGCCGCCGATGTAACGGATGCTCTCGCGTCTTCCTCTTCTTCCAGTTCGGCCTCGTCGAGCTCGGGCGACTCGTCTTCGGCGGCTTCCTCGTCCGCGTCTCCTTCGAGCAGCGCGCGCCAGTCGTTTTTTTCCCAGTTTTTCGTAATCTAGACGTGGAACGCGAGCTCGCTCTTCGGTGCCACTTTCGCTCCCCAGGCTACTCATCTGGCGAAAAACAACAAGTTGGTTGCGCTTTGTTCAAGACATGACATACTCTGCATCCAGGAAGCCAGGAGGCCGCAGGAGCACCTAGGGTACCTCTGCAGAGAAGTTCATCAAGCTTGTGGTGTCGGTGCGTTTCTGGACTACCACTTCGGGGGGGTGTCTGGCCCTGGTCGCCCCCTAAACTCCAGGGGCTCTTCGCGCGCACTAACGATGATACCATCGAGGGCGGTCGCATGCGCGGTCTCACATTCTATGACGCCAAGTATTGTCTCCAGATAATGAGCGCGCGCTCGGATCAACACCACCAGCCCATCACCAAACATAATCAGCTTCGCCGCATCCGTCGCGCCCTGGTACCCGCCAAGAAAGCCGCGATGATAGTGTTCGGCGGCTTTGCCTTTCCTACTCGCGGTGAAGGATCGCACCGCGCAGACGGCAAATTTGTTTCGAGCGGCTGGTCGACCGCAAAGAACTCGATTGCTTTTTCCCGGCACGTGGAGTGAGCTTCTCTTACGTGCGGAATTGCAGTCAGGATAGGCGAGCGGAAGGTGGTCGAATCTTCGGGTTGTCTGGATCAGGTGTACATTGGTCTGCTCGCAGCGGACTTGTGCGATCTCAACCCTGCCCTGCGGAACCTGAACAAGGAATCTTTATTATGGGCAATGTACGAAGGCATCCTCAGTACGGAATCTCCATGAAGGAGTCCTTATCAAGGAATCATTATCAAGGAATCGCTACGCAGCAGTATTGATTAACATCCTTACTGTTGAATCCTTACCTAGGAATCCTTCGGAAGGGATCTGTACTAAGGAATATGTATTCAGGCATCTGTCTAAAGGATGTTTTAGTACATAGTCCAACCAATAATCATTACGGAGGAATCCTCAGTAAGGTACATGTGCGAAAGGAGCTTACATTTATAATCATCATTAAGGAATCCTCATCAAGGAATCCTTGTCATGGAGTCCTTACTAAGGAATCCTTTCGAAGGGCCCCTTCGTAAGCCATCTTTCTTCTGGAATCTTCATTAAGGGGTCCTCACTAAGGATCCTTCTGTGTCGAATATTTTCTGACGAACCCGTGCCCTGGAATATCTAGTCAATAATATTTGATGAGGAATATGATTTACAGGGATCTTTATTAAGGAATCCTTACTACGGAGTTCTTCTCAAGGACTCTTTACACAAGGAATAATCACAAAGGAATCTTCACGAAGGGATCCTTATTAATGAATCCGTAGTACGAAGTCTTTACGAAGGAGTCCATACGAAAGGAAGCTCGCTTCTCTGGCGCGCACATGCAACTCAGGAGAGCTAGTCTTTCTGCTGTCTACAGGTAGCGAGAGGCTTCCTTTTTATTAACAAACTGAATTGGACCGCTGTTGTTGTTGCTCTTGTGACTGTTGCTGTTCGGGGTGGGGTCGCCCCAGGGAATCCCAGGGAAGGGCGCCAGGGAAGGCTCCTATCCCCCCAAAGCCGGGGGCTCGGGCCGTCACGCATCAACAAGGGCGTCCAGGAACGTCCTCATCCGTGTTGTTGTTGTTGTTGTTGTTGTTGTTGTTGTTGTTGTTAGTGTTAGTGTTAGTGTTAGTGTTAGTGTTAGTGTTAGTGTTAGTGTTAGTGTTAGTGTTAGTGTTAGTGTTAGTGTTGTTGTTGTTGTTGTTGTTGCTGTTGTTTTCGTTGTTGTTTTTGTTGTTGTTTTTGTTGTTGTTGTCATGATTATTATTGTTCTTGTTGTTGTTGCCGTCATCGTCCTACCCTCGCGACCCACCCACGACCCACCCCGCGACCCACCCACGATCCACCTCGCGACCCACCCGCGACCCACCCCGCGACCCGCCCGCGACCCGCCTGCGACCCACCCACGACCCACCACGCGACTCAACCCGCGATTCACCCGCGACCCACCCGCGACCCACCAGGGACCCACCCGCGATCCACCAGCAACCCACCCGCGACCCAGCCCTCGACCCACTTTCGGTCTGCCCAGGACCCGCCCGCGACCCACCCCGCGCCCGCACCGTCACTCTGATCTGCAATTGCGGTGTGCTCCATATCTCCACCTCCGGGGGTAAGTCCCTTGTGGGCCCCGGAAACGGCAGGGCCGTTTTTTCACCGTTTCCAAAAAAAAAATCCCCTGAAAATGAAAACGGCAAAAAAACGGCGACCGGAAACGGTTAAAAAATTGCTCCAGGATTGGAACCGGAGCCGAAACCGGTCAAAAAACGGCGACGGAATTGGTAAAAAAACGGCGTCGGAACCGGCAAAGCAACGGCAAAACGGGCCCGGTAAAAAAACGGCCGTGTCGTTTCCAGGGCTAAGGTAAGTCGGCCAGGGGGGCCAAGGCCACGCCGGTGGCGATGGGGATCGGTTCGACTGTGCTCAAGAGGCGCTGGTGCTGGTGGTGGGCACCAGCCGGTCGCGGCAGAGCGTCGCGGCGTGGCTGCTGGCGCCGCACCGCCTGGGCATGACCGTGGAGCTGGAGCCGCGGCCCTCCGTCGGGGAGGCCTTCGGGCTGGCCGCGGAGGGGCGCGGGCCCTCGGTCGGGAGCAACGATGGGGGCGAATACAGTCGGGGCGCTGAAGAAGGAACCCTTTTCGTTGGGGAGGGGCTCGGTGTTCCTTGATTGTTTCAAAGTTTGCCTCGGGTTTTCTTGAGGTTTTCCTTGGGAAATCGAGGTTGAACTTATGGGAAAAAGGGGCCTTGTTCCTGATTTTGGGCTCCTTAGGTCAACGCCTCGACTGTAGCCCAGGGCGGAGCAACACATGTATCCAGAGGCGCCGATGGTCCACGTCTTCGGCGGGGTTCCTGGGCGAACGCGTGCCATGCCCGCCCCTGAGCTAGTCGCCCCCGTCATCGCCTCCGACTCGGGGCTAACGTAACGGAGCTCAACGCTGATGGGACTCAGCCCGAACGCGGGATCTTGCAGGACCTTGCAAGGCCAGATCTCGGCTGAGCCAGGTTCGGGAGCCGCTTGCGGCCCTGGAGGTGGCCTTACGTATTGGTTGAGCCCAGTTTGGGAAGCCCCGCAGAAAGTTGCAGAGCAGTTTTTTGAACATTAACTGAATCGGGTTTGCGCTGAGCTGAGCTAACAGACGCCCGAGGCCCAGGCCGGACCCCTCTTGGGGCCAGGGCCACATTCGAGGAACGAAGCACAGTGACCGTGGCCAAGATACCGCGGGATGTAGTCAGCGCCGATTTGGGTCATAGTCTATGACAGCCGTCGCCGATTCGCGAGGCTGGCCCACGAGTTGACGCTGACCAAACGGACGATGACCAAGATCGACGCCGACGTTTCCGCGTTCGGGATGTGGCCGTGGTCCTCGTTCTCTCTCCTTACATAGCTTCTGGTCGGCCCGATCTGGTTCGATTCCGCTGCTCCGACGATGCAGCGCGGCCCGATGCTGGCGCGGCGTTAGTGCGCACCCCGGCGGGGCCGATCTGGCTCGATTCCGACCCCGTGCCGATGCAGCCCGATCCGACGCACATTTAGGGTGCCACATGCGAACCCTACCCCTACCCCCCACGATTTATGAGGGGGAGGGTGGGGTTCGCTTCGCTCGGGAGCTCCCGAATGAAGTGAACCCCACCCTCCCCCTCAGAAATCGTGGGGGGTAGGGGTATGGTTCGCATGTGGCCCCCTACGGGCCGATCTGGTTCGATTCCGACTCCGTGCCGATGCAGCCCGATCCGACGCACATTCCGATGCGATCCGATGTCCCGAGCCTGGGGAAACAAAAAGGTATTGATACCACTATCCGTAAGGGCTTCGCCCCCTGCCGCCAGTCCCCTCTCTATCATAATGGGATATATCAGAGTCGGGTCGGTGCGTCTCGGCGCTGCCTTGGCGCATCTGGGAACATCAGGCGGGGGCTGATAGGAATCATCAGCGCTCTTGGGGCCTCCTCGGAGATTCCTGGGAACCTTTTGGATGGATCTTTGGGGCCTCCTTGGTCCTCTTGGGGGCCTTTCGGGGCTTCTCGGGGGCCTCTTTGGCTGTCTTAGGGCATTCCTGGCCTGTCTGACGCCGTCGGAAGCCGTCTTGGGGGCCTCTCTAAGCCGTCTTGGGGCCTTCTTGGGGTGCTTCAAGGCCATCTTGGAGGCCATCTTGGGCGTCTTCGATTCCTCTTGGGCCGTCTTGGGGCCCCTCTTGGGGCCGTCTTCGGAGCCTCTTGGGCCGTTCTGGGGCCATCTTGAAGGGCCTCGTGGGCGATCTTGAGGCGATCTTTGCGGGCTCTTGGGCCGTCTCTGGCAGTCGGAAGATCGAAAAGAAACAAATGCCCAAATCCTCCAAAAACTTAGGACAAAACATGATTTTGTCCTCTTCGGGCCTTCCTGGAGGCCCTCTTGGGGGCCTCTGGGGCCGTCTTGGAGACCTCTTGGGGGCATCGTGGAGGCCTCTTTGGCTGTCTTCGAGACCTTTTAGAGCTATCTTTGGCCGTCTAGTTGGCCTCTTGGGCCATCCTGAGGCCGTCTTGGACCATCTTGGAGGCATCTTGGGCCATCTTGGAGGCATCTTGGGGCCATCTTAGCCGTCTGCAGGCCATCTTGTCCATTTTGGAGGCATCTTGGAGGCCATCTTGGGCCATCTTGGTGGTTTTGCCAGCCATCTTGAGCCGTCTTGGGAAAGTGTGTTGAGAACTCCGGGACTTTCGGGTGGCCAGCGGGACGGGCCGAAGCACCAGGAGGAGCTTAAAAAACCAAACCAAACCGTATAGGATTCAGCACGCCCAGCACCCCTGTGGCAAGACCACAGGAGGCGGCGGATCGAAGACGCCTACGGCGAGTCACCGCCGCCCCCTGTCCTTTCGGAAGCGCCAGAGCCTTGCCAAGGTATCGGACCATGTGTTCCCTGAATCGGTTTGGAAAGCCCTCGGGGAACAAGTGGAGGAGGACGGGGAAGAGGAGGAGAGTGAGGAATGGTGAGCTCTGTGCGACATTGATATCACGCCTGTCTCCGTTCCCTCTTTTGTAGCTTTTCGGCGCAGAGGATTCAGATGCAAGCTGCCGCGCCCGTCCTCGCGCAAGTCGCGGGATACGCTGTCGGCTGGTGGAGCAGCGGCGGGCATCGCTGCATCTGTTCGTGTGAGGTCTCTGGCAGCGTGGACCGCGATATCATCGGGGTCCTGCAGCGCCAACTGGATCGGTGTGGCCCAGACCAGCTGACCTCGCCGCCGCCGACCACCTGTCATTGCGACGCAGGCGCGACCTGGCTCGGCACTGCAGCGGGCTTCGCTGTGGGCGTGGTGGTTGGCGTTCTCCTGTGTCTGGTCGCGTACTTCCGCGCTGCTGCTCGTCGCCCAGATGACTACACATCCGCCAGCGCCGAGCTGGCTGCGATCACTGATTCCGGGGGCCCGCCTGTACGTGAGGTACCCGGACGAGGACCTCTGGCACGAGAGGCTTCTTTGCGGGCGCGTACGGGCGGACGGGTGGTCATGGGTGGTCCTGACAGTCACCGACTGAAGACCTTCATGAGGAGGACTTTGTGGACGCCGCCGAGATCTTGGCCTGTGGGCCGAAGGGCGGCACGCCAGTGAAGTTATACGGCGAACGTCTGTTCAAGATGGAGCACCACTCCAACAACCACTACTCGGACTACATGGCGGCGGGGCTGAAGCTGGCTGATGAGTTGGTCAGCGAAGGAGGCAGTGGTCCTGCCCCTCCTACTGGGGCGGGGCCCTGGGCCCCCTTGGCCGACGTGGACATGGAGCGCGACCCCACGACCAAGTGGATCACGCTCCAGTCCAGGTTCGGCTACGCCGCGGGCGACCCGATCGACGTGGTAGGCCAGCCCTTCCTTCGCTCGGGCGATCGTGGCGTGCTGGAGCTGGCGGACGGGCCCATTACTGTGGGCATCTCCGACACCGCGGTCACAGGGCTGACGCCACGTGCGGGGCCGCTGGACATCCGCCTGCTGGGGACAAGCTCGGACACGACCTTCATGCGACAGAGTTTTGCCCAGCGCGCACAGCTCCTCGAGACGGGTGACAACCAGAAGTGGACGGTGCAGGAGCCTCCGACCATGCGTTGGGTCTGCCTCGCGCACGTTGAGGGCAATACCACGCCCAAGCAGCGACACCTCTGGTGGCGTCAAGTCCTGGGGCTGGTGTCAACAGACCCTGGGGTCGAGGAGCACAGTTTCTTGTGCGAGCTGATAGAGACCGCTGTGGCTAGGGGCGGCATCAACGTGGCGGCCCTGGAATCGTTCGAGACGGTGTCGAGGCGCTTCCAGCTCTGGGAGGAGTTCTACGCGGAGGCGCTGCGGATCGCGGAGGCCGGCGACCACGGGGGCGACCTGGACGAGAGGAGGCTCTTCTTGGGGAACCACCGGAGCAAGGGGCTCGCGATGGTGTCGCCGGAGTTGGAGCAGCGCGTTGCCACGAAGCTGCAGGAGGAGAGCGCGGTGCTCAAGGAGCGCCGCAAGGGTCGCGAGGAGCGGAGGCTTGCTCGTACGGACCCGACGCGCCCATCTACTTCTTCAGGCTCTGGCGCCGCGGCATCTGGTGCCCGGCAGCCTCCGCAGCAGACCCAGCCTCCAGGACGTGGGAGGGGGCAGGGTCGTGGGCGGAGCTGACGCTCCGCCTCTTTCTTCATCCGGCTGTCCACCGTCGCCCCCGGGCGGTTGGGCTTTTCCCACAGGGGAGGCGCACTTGTGGCGGTGGTGCGCTTGGCGTGTATCGAGATCATGGAGGTGCAGCGTGACGTGCTGCTGCTACCACTGGGGGGCGCCCTCAGTCAGGAACTGCGTGGAGGGGTTGCTGGAGCTGCGCAGCCTCGCCCACGTCGACTCCGACAGCAACGTGCGCAAGTGAGGTGGCTACGTGAGGGCATTGAGGCCTTGAATGAGCTCGGAGGTCGTGGTGAGACAGCGGATCCTCATCGTCGTCTCTCACTGCCGCAACAGCTTGCGGTTCGGCACCTTGCTCGTTCTTATGGCCGCGTGGGTCCTCCGCCTCCCGATTTTGATGCCCACGGAGCGTTCAGGGCGCTTCAGGGTTCGAGGTGCGGTTATGCGGACTCGCTGACCGATGGCAAGGTTGCTGCTAACAGACGTGGTGAAGTTTCACTACCGCAGGGCAAGGCTGGAGGCGTGTCATTTTTGAACTGCCTTGGGCCTGAGCTGTAGTCAGTTCTGGTAAGTGGTCGGGGTCCTCTTCGCTCTGATCGCGATCGCGACAACGTTCTTTTAGATGCTCCCAGGGTGCCGGCTATGGACGTCAACTTGGGCAAGGGGGGCGCCGACTACGGGCGCTTCCTGGGGGGGCTGTATAACCTTGGGGCTATCGAGGTGTGCGAGTCGCCGCGGGAGGTCTGCGGGCTCTTCTTCGTTCCCCGCAAGGATGGGCGACTGCGTCTTATATGGGGCACGAGGCGCTCCAACGCACACTTTGAGGTGCCGCCCTTCACCGCATTGCCGTCTGGGGAGGCTCTGGCTGCTCTTGAGATTGACGAGTCGATCGCTGGGCAGAGGATAGTGGCACCTAGCGCGTATGTGGAGGTTTG